GCATGGAATGTAAACATGAGGGTGGAGAACCCAAAGCCCTGAGGATTCAATGAGGTGTGTGGCCAAGCAATTATTTTGGGGTAATGCAGAGACGTGGCCTGTGCTTACTCTATAAAAGCAAGAAACAGGTTTCCTACCAGAGATAGTCAGTTTATGCTAAAGACTGAAGTGAGATTTTCTTGATGTGGGCACTAGAGTCTGTGTCATAGACACACCATAGAGATGGCATTTCCAAATTGAGCTTTCTAAGCCAAAGATGCTACTGGCAGTGGTGCTAAAGTATGTTTAAATTCAGTTTTTAATTAAGATTATTAAGTTTAAGTAATTCAAGAATGGAAGAAAGCATGGGGAGAGTCAATATTTTTATGTTAAAGGAAAATTGAAGGTGTAAATTTGTTAGCTGGTAGCACCAAGTTTCACTGGTGACTTGGGGCTGCCTGGGTGCTTCTCATGTGGTTCACACTGAGAACCAGATTGGCTGGGATTTTTGTGTTGTGATCTTGGGTGAATGTTTTTTGTCACTGTCACTGTGAGTCTTGAATCAGATATATTTTGTGTGATAACAAGAAATGGGATTTTGTGTGAGGGGACTGACGTGGTACACATGCACAGCAGCTGGGCTGGAGAAGAGCTTGGTGTGCAGCAGTTTTGGGGCCAAATCCAGTACTGGCAGTAGTGCAGTGCAGAGGGGTGAACTGAAGCAGGGCTATGCACGTGTAAGTGCAGTACAGGAATTCACAGAGGTTCCCCAATCCCAGAGCACATCACTGGCACTGGACTATGTCTTGCCATTGAGGACATTCAGAAATTCTTCTAAGGCAGGGTCCTCTATGTCAAATCCCTCCTTGGACCCTCTGGTTCTCCAGTCTGAGGTGCCTGCAGGCTCACTGAGCTGGGTTCCCATTTCTGACCCCCTGTGGGACAGCTGCCCTTCTATCCTTGACAAAGCTCTTCCTTTTGGCAAGAAACAAAATGCAGTGTCCTTACAGCAGAATGAGTTTCGGATTTCTGCAGGTTGCACCAAAGCCATGTTTAACGTCCACCATCTGTCTTTACCACTTCTGCCTTTCCTTATGTGTGTTTTTTATTATTTTTTTTTCTTTGCTTCCTGGCTTCCAGTCCTCTTGGTAATGTGTTCAGCATGGGCTATTAATATATCCCAACAGGAGCAACTGTACTTATGTTTTCCTTTTGGAGTAAGGATTAGGGAATATCCTTTAGCCCTTCTTTTTCTGCCCCACACGTTTGTTTTTTTTTTCCAATTTTTTCCATCCTTCTCCCTCAGAACTGAACTCCATAGATTCATGAGATTTTGCAGGGGCAGAGGGGCCTGAAGGCTGCAAACCAGTGGTCTGGTTTTTAGATGCTGCGGTTTTTTTTCCCAGATCCCTTGGGGTGGGAGGAGACCTGGAAGTTGACGACACTTTTTGTGGTTGGTGGATGCTTCATGGGCTGCATCCAGCTCTGGGGTCCTCAGCACAGGAGAGACTGGAGAAAGCCCAGAGGAGGCCAGGCAGCTGCTGCCAGGGCTGGAGCCCCTGTGCTCTGGAGGCAGCCTGGGAGAGCTGGGGCTGCTCCCCTGCACAAGTATTCAGGCTCCAGGGAGAGCTGAGAGCCCCTGGCAGGGCCTAAAGGGGCTCCAGGAGAGCTGCCCAGGGACTGGGGACAAGGCCTGCAGGGCCAGCACCCAGGCAATGGCTTGCCAGTGCCAGAGGGCAGGCCCAGCTGGGATATTGGCAAGGAATTGCTGGCTGGGAGGGTGGGCAGGCCCTGGCACAGGGTGCCCAGAGCAGCTGGGGCTGCCCCTGCATCCCTGCAGTGTCCAAGGCCAGGCTGGACACTGGGGCTTGGAGCAGCCTGGGATAGTCAAAGGTGTCCCTGCCATGGCCCTTCCAACCCACTCCATTCTGTGATTCTGTGTGCTGTGCAATTATGCAGTAGAGTGCAGATTGGTACTAAGGGCTTTTTTTTTTTTTTAAATAAACATTGTTTTGCCATACCTGTCCAGCCAGATAATCACAAAAATGCCTCAAGTAGAAAGAGAGATGGCATTCACCATCAGCTGGGGATCTGTAAAACACCATGTATCACGAGATTGTCAGTGAAGCCATGACTCCGGCAAAGCTCGGCAGAGGAATTTTGCTGGGGCTCGTGGTTTCCTTGTCTCACTGGATAAAATAAAACCTGCCAAAGCAGCGGCAGTGAGCTCCCATCTATCTGTTCTCATACTCCCAGCCGCTTCTGCCTGAATTATTCATGCTCCGTAAGTGATCTGCAAACAGCTCCTGTGATCTCCCTGTGATCTAAGGGTATGCCAGACTCACCCCTCCTTAGGTCAGGGCATTTTCTTGTTTCCTTCCCCGCGGCAGGGAGTCTGTGGGAATCTCCGGATTCCTCACTGCCTCTTTCTGATTAACCCAGACGTGTATTTATTATTTACGTGGCAGGATTTGTTCAGTTGTCCCAGGCACACGGTATTATCAGTGGATAAGCAGGAAGACTCACTGCAAACATCTGTAGTTGTTGCTTGACAAATCCTGTTTGTATAAATAATATTAAGGAGCTGCAGAGGCTGCTGTAGAGTAAATACCCTTGTGACTGAAGGCAGCACTGCCAACTTTTCACCTGCATGTGCATCTCAATAGAGATTTACTGAGCTGTTTTACACACACATATGTATACATACATATATATATATATATATACGTACACATAAAATACTTCAGGTTATTTTTTAGCTTAAAGGTCCCTTCCAACCCAAATTATTCTGCGATTCTAATCTATATGTATATATGTTTTATGTATTTGCCTTTTTTCCCCCACAAGCTCTTCTCCTGTATTTATTTCTGCTTTTAATTTTTTTCTACTGATTTGGTCATGGAAATTGGCAAAACCAGTGAGAAGAGCAGTTTACGGGCAGGTGATTGGCAGTAATTCAGTGTGCTCTGCTATCCGTATCATTAATGAAATGGGCTGTGAGCCCACCTCTTCCACCTCACCCACCCTAGGTACATCTTGGATTTGCCTCTCCAGGATCCTCTACTTCAACCATTCTTTATTTTGGGATGAGGAGTTGGATGCTTCAGGAACCCACTGCCAGCAGAGCTGCAGCTAATGCTATGAGCCAAAGACATGGGACCCCCTAGTTCCCTTCTTCAGCTGAGGCAGTAATTTGGGATGAAAAACGCTCCATTTAGGCTACTTGCTTTTTTACACTAACCCATAGGAGGACCTGTGCCTTGCTTAGGATATCCCTCACCTATGACATAACCGGGATACAGTGGGTTTGTTAAAATGTCCTGTCTCTCTGCATTCTGGAAAGAAGATTTTCTATTAAACCTTAGGGAAATTACTGGCCTTGTTAACTAGTGTGGAAGTAATGAACCACAGCAGGGTGACTCGGGAGATTTGGGCCCTCGCTTCGTAAGACTGCATTGTTTCTTCAAATGAGAGAAATAATTTAAGCAAACAAACGAACAAAGAATTTCTGGAAATTAAAGTACGGTACAAATGGGATGATTTGCTCATCCTCTGTTTAATAGGAGTGATGCAGTGAACAATTGTGTGGTCGACCTCAGAAATCTATCCATGGTAACTAGTCACAGGAGAGAAAAATAGACAGCCTGCCACCAACTTGGTATTAAAGTTCTATTTTCCATTTTTTCCATGGTTGTGGGCCAGTCAGGGACTTTCCATGAGCAATCAGCACAGCAGAAATCCCCTTCTGCTCCCTAGCAGCCATCTCTGCTCAACAATCGAAGGTGCTTTTTGTACTGGTTTTGGCTCAGGTGGGATTTGGTCCCAGTTTTCAGTGAGAGTAGGCTGGGGCAGATCCTTCCTGCGAAATGCATCCTGCAGAAACAGAGCTGTCATAGAGTCACAGAATGGTTTATGTCGAAAGGGACCTCTCAACCATCCAGCTCCACCTCCTGCCATGGGCAGGGACACCTTCCAGCTGACTGCCTTGTTCCAACTTGGCCTTGCCCCTTCTACCCCATGGTCGAGGCGTGTTTGTCCTGGGGTCTGGTGAAGAAACGTCGCCTTTGGTTTTGTCACCTCAACCAGGTGCTGGGTGTTGAATTCCTGATGGGGTTTTTTGAGGTCTGTGCAAGCCTTGCACGACCCCCTTGGCTTTGGGCAGGTCCTGCAAGAGCCCAGAGGAAGGACAAGAAGACGCTGCTAGTCAGGAGTTCAGAAATAAATACAGCAGAAATACTGGGCCTTCAGGCTCGATGGTGTGTTCCTCAAAAGACAATTTTGGAAGGGATCACTGTGCTTTTGTTCTTCCATTAGGCAGCTGAGGAGAGAGCATTGTTTTCCTCCCCTCATCTGTTCCCCTTGTAGGGGAAGAAGGAGGACTTGGCCACCCTGAGCCGAGCATCCCAGGGGATCTCCCAAAACAAAGGGCTGTGTGGAGGAGGATATCGTCATCCTGTCCCCGTCATCCCCTTCCCTCCCTTCACCCTGCCCTTGGCACGGCCATACCCGCCCGGGGCTGGCACGCTGGGGAGCACGGGGAGGGGAATGTTCCTTGTCTTCCTCCCTGGAAACCCAGCTAACTTCTCTGACCTCCAGGTTTACTGCTGCCTGTAGGCTTGGTGAGGCAGCCCTGGGGTTTGTCTCCTGCTGGGAAGGTGTGTGGGTCCTGGGATGGTGTGGCAATGTAATGTGTGCAGGTGTGGTGGCTTGGGTAACGCAGCGCTCCTGAGGAATGTCATGTAGCTGTTTCTGGATGTGGATTGGAGCTCTGTGGACACATCCCAGTGTAATTTCTGTCCTGTGTGCTGCAAGCATCCATCCTGATCTGCAGAGAAGGCCTGTGGGTTGGAGAGCATCTCCTCAGCCACGCTCTGTGTGACCCTTGAGTTGATTCCCCCTACAGGAAAATGTGGCTGGCACATGGAGCTGGAATGGTTTTGGGTTTATTTTTTTAAATCATAGGTTGTCTAGGTTTATCTGCAAATAACTGGACTAACACCAACCTGTCTTGTTTCACCTAGGCTCCAAGCCTGACCCTGCTGAGAGCCCCTGAGACACTGAACTCTATGAGCGGAGATCACTTGACTGCACTCAGCACCTTTCAGGATCAGGCTCTAGGTAATTATTCTAATTCTCTGCCTGGATGATAGGGGAAATTTGCTGTTTTGGGTTGTACAGACCATCTGAAATGACATTCCTAGTTGTTTGTCCCATGAACCTGTGAATCTTTTTTTTCCTGCTGAAGGCTGCCAGTCTTGATCAATGGCTGGGCACTACAATAAAACCACTGATCCCTCAAGCATAAAGCAGAATACCAGCCTTGCTTCCACGGGATGGTTGAAGGAACCCTAAAGACCATCTAATCTATGCCCCTTGTAATGGGATGTATTCAACTAGACCAGGCTCCTCAGAGTCCCATCCAACTCGAATATTTCCAGGGGTGAAGCATCTTGGATCACCATTCTCGTAACGGTCACCAGCTCTTGTGCTTGGGAGGTTCTCCTGAACTTAACTTGCAGAGAGCTGTAAAAACAAGCAATCAATATCAAAAAAAGGCATTGATTCCCATCAAAAGCAGTCAAAGGCTTAAAATACCAATATTTGTTGGCAAGGATGCTGGTTCAGATCAGGCTTTTAAGAATTGCTCAGAAACCTATAGCTGCAGGAGCCTGCTTTTTAAAATAAACCCAGCATCTTATTTGTCTGGTTTTACAGTAGCTTCATTCTCTCCTCCAGACCTGGCCTCACTGTTGTACCTTTGAGGAACTTTAAATCCTTGCTCCAGGGTGGATAGATGGAAATCAAAGAGCCTGGGGCCTGGCATTGTCCTGCTCTGCTTCATGGAAATATGTCAGCTTGGTGCCTTGCCTGGGGGGTGTGGGTAGGATTAGACCCAAGATTTGTGCTTTTATCCCAGCGAGGCCAGCTCAAGCAGAGAGCATGAGCTCTGGAGGTGATGATCTCAGCAATGGGTTTTAAGAGGAGTAAGAAGGAAGCCAGCAGGATGCTGTGGATGTTACTGTGAAGAACTAAGGATGAAGGATTTCCTGTAGGACTGACTTCCTGAGTGAGATGACATTCTGTACAAAATTCTCCACACTGACAGAAGTATCAGTCAATAGAGGGTTATAATTTTTAACCTGATTTGCTGCATTTTTCCTCAAGTCAATAAGAAATGGCTCCACACTGATTTCAGCAGAGGTTAAAACCCAGCTCTCAGATCAGAGTGGCACGAGGGCAGAGCGTCTCGCTGCCCACTCTCCCAGGGCATCTTCTGTCTCTGCAGGAACAGAGGGCTTTTCTCCATCCCTTGCAGCTCTGTGTGCTGACATTTTCAGGACCCAGGCAGGAGGACATTGACTGGGTTGTTTCCTGTTTTGACAATATCCATTTCAAAACCTCTGTAACACAGCTTTGTGCAGGGAATTAGAGCACCACATCCCATGTCCTCCTCCCTTGAATATTGCATTGTGGAGCTAAGCTCATGTTTCCAGTGGGGAGGGAGAATACACAGGTCATAAAGCAGGCTCAGAAAGTGAAAGAGAGGAAAATGAAGAATGAGAAAAAAGAAATACGTTCACCACCAGGGCTGCAGTGCAATGTTTTTCGTATCCACTCAGAATTTGTGGGAATGGGGTTCTCCCTCGGTGCCAAAAGTCATATGCTTTGTGTTTAAACTGCTGCTGTCAAAGCTTGGAGAATAACTAAAACAAAAAGGTTGCAGGTCAAGTGGATGTTTTCCAATTGACTGGAGCTCAGTATAAATCCTAGGGAAGGAAATAACCCAGCAAACATCCACCAGTCCTGTGTCTGTGTCCCCTGCTCTGGTGCTGGCTGCTGGTGGCAGGTCCTACTGGGATGTGCCAGTGTCAGGCAGCTGTCTCAGCACCCCCAAACAGTCCTCAGGCAAGCATCGCCTCCCCAACAAATTTTTGTGCAGATTTCAAATGCAACAGAATTGGATCCAGATTTGATCTAGGTCAGCATTTAGGAGGGTCAAGAGGTTGCTTCAGCTGAGCATGGAAGGTGGGAAAACACCTGCCTGTGAGGAACCTGGGCTGGAGGCTCATCCTAAGCCCCTGCAACACATCTTCAGCCGATGGCTAGTGTTTGCAGCTCTAAATTCAGCAGTTTTGGGTAGGCAACACTCCAGGGGAACATCAAGGCAAATGTGTCTCTGCCATCACTTTGCATCGCCCCTTGCAAAGTCCCCACCGAGGTTTTGGCGTGGCCAATTGCTCTTCCCTGAGCTGTAACCTGAAAACAGGGATAGATAAAGGCAAACTGTTCTGGGAGCCATGCCAAGCCAAAGGCACCGAGTTGTTACGAGATCCGTATCTCGATAACAGATTTTTTTTCTCTTTATCAGCTTTTAAGAGAAAATATGGTGTTTCCATGAGCAGATTGGGATCATCCTAAGGAATGGAGCTCTCCTTTGAAAATTGTATTGCTTTTATTACTATTATTTTAATATTAATAATAATATTTCCGCAATGAAGCCATATATGAGAATGTTATTTGTGTAGGAACTGGAAATGAACCTGAAATGATCAGCGTATTTTTTAAAAGCACTTTACAAGTCATTTGGCTTTGGAAAAAGTACAACTATCCATCAAAGCAAGGCTTGGGGATAAAATAATTAGAAATCACACAACCATAGCAAAGGAAGATTAGTGCTAAAATTAGAAGCCATAAAGTTGTTTTTAGATTAGGCTGGAGTCTGGGCAGGCTGCTTTATTGTAGCCTGTTACTTTAAAAAATACTTTACTCACTTTAAAAGGTGAGAGGTGTGAATTGTCTGCATTTGGTCATGTCCTAGTGGAGCTGTTGTGAATGTTAGGAGGGATAATCTATGAGGTGAATTTCAGGGAAATCCTTAGGGGATGGAAGTATAGTCCCATGTGACCAGCTGCTAAGGGGCTGGGTTCAGTGTTGAGCTCAGCCCACAAGGGTGTCCCTATAAATTTGGTTTGGGAATTTGGCCCTAGTTTTGTTTCAGGGTTGTGGTGGCCAAATACTCACATTGCATCCAGAAAAGGTGGTGGTATGGCTTGAATTGGGAATTTAAATTGGAATTTCCACCCATAGGTGGGATGGGTGTGAGTTGGAGCTGCTGTGGTCCCCAGACCTTAGCTGTGCCCTTGGGGGCAGACAGTGACATCAGATGGGCACAGCCCATGGAGCTTCATCACTTTGTTTTTCTGCTGGACCTCCTCAAACATGAATGGGAATGAATCCTCTATCAAACACAAAATTGATCAGAGGACAGATAAGGAGAGCTGGGGCTGCTCCTCTGCACAAGTATTCAGGCTCCAGGGAGAGCTGAGAGCCCCTGGTAGGGCCTAAAGGGGCTCCAGGAGAGCTGCCCAGGGACTGGGGACGAGGCAGGGAGAGACAGGACAAAAAGGAATAGTTTTACAGCAGCAGGGGAGATCCAGATTAGATTGAAGGAGGAAAATTCTTGTGATAAGGGTGGTGGGGCCGTGGTGCAGGGTGCCCAGAGAAGTGGATGTTCCATGTATCAATCCCTTCAGGAAAAAGGGTCTTGATACTAAAGCCCTTCTGGTACAGCTGGAAGGGTGTAACACGAGCAAGAGGCTGGAGGACAAGGTCAGGCACATCCAAGTGTTTTCACTGAGGAAGATGCCAGGTAGAGATCCCTTCGCCCAGAGAAAGGTGACTTCTTCGGGTCTGATGCCTTTAGATTTGGAGTGGGGGATTTCTGGGATAGAAACCTGAACTTTGTGGGATGTGCTGCCTAAATATGGGTATAATTAGGTGTACCTCTTCCCTTGGTCCAGGCAGAGGTACCAAATGAAAGTATCTCAGGTTCCCTGCTGCCTGGGAAGCACCAGACCTGTTGTGACCACCCACAGCATCTTTCCTGTACTTGTATTTCCCGGTGCCTGCAGGGGAAAAGTGGAGTTGAGCGGACTGCCTGCTCCCCCCAGAAAGCTCCTGCTGTGCCTCCAGCTCAGTGAAAGCAGGACAACTCCTCATCGACTCTTTGTAGCCCGAGAACAGAGCCTTGGAAAAGTCCGGCAGCGGGAACTTTACTAATTCCAGCTAATGACTCCGAAATACTGACTGAGGGGAACAATTGCGCATCATCAAAAGTCACAGACAAAAGAAATGCGCTGCATTGTAATAGCAAACGAAGCTGAATTTGATCTGATGAAGCACCTTTCATATTCCAAGCGTTTCAAAGCCCTTGGCAGAGTAATGAGCTGCATGCTGACAGCGGGGCTGCTGGACTGGGCTTTATGTGACCAACAATAGCCAGCACAGTTGCTGGCAGAGGACTGCTCATGATGGGAGAAGGGATGGATGGTAGCTGGCATGTTGGGGTTATCCTGTGCTTTCCTGGTTTTTTTTAGCGCTGTTGGATCTCTGACTAGCATTTGGATGGGCACTGGAGGTGACCAGGCAAGAAACGTTGGTCTTTCTTAAAGGGGGCTTGGAAGAAAGATGTAGACAGTTTTTAGTAGGGCCTATAGTGAGAGGACAAGGGTTGATGGTTTTAAATTAAAAGCAGGGAGATTCAAACTAGGAATGATGAAGAAGGTCTTTATGATGAGGGTGGGCAGGCCCTGGCACAGGGTACCCAGAGCAGCTGTGGCTCGTGGAAGTGTCCAAGGCCAGGTTGGACACTGGGGCTTGGAGCAGCCTGGGATGGTGGAAGGTGTCCCTGCCCACAGCAGGGAGTTGGAACAGGATATTAAGGTCCCTTCAATCCTAACCATTTCAGGATTCTTATTGAAGAGGGGTGGAGAAACATGTTAGGAAGCACATGAGGATGCCTTGCTGCAGCTGAAAATAGACCTCGGCCTCCCAGGTCACCATCAGGCCCTCTAATCTTGCGGTCCCCATGACAGTTTCATGAAGGCCCACATACAACTTCAGCTCTTTAATTTTAGCTAAGCCAGAATAGCATTGGTGCAGCTGTGGGAACAGATATCTTAGTCCTCAGACTATTTCTGTGGCAGGGAAGTTTCTTGCCTGCTGCGAGGAGAGGAAAAGGTTAATTGCGTATTTTTTTTTTCCTTTTTTTCTTTCCATTTTTTTCCAAAGAGGAAATAAATGTACCTACCCCACCCTAAGGGGACAGCACAAATCTG